GACCGGCTGGAGAGCCTCCACGGTGGCGAAGCCAGCGCGTGGAGTCTCCAGCTGGAACGACCATCTGACCATGGTGGCTCGGCGAGCGGCTTCGCGCCACTCGCGCACGTCTTCGGGCGGAGGGCGAAATCCGCTCTTCGCCCGGAAGTCAGCCACTCGCCGATAGACTTCGGCGAGCACTTCCGCTTCCAAATCCCACGGGGGTGTTCCGGCCAAGGCGCAAGGCGCCTCGGTGGACACCGTGCGGTATCCGCGTATGGCTCTGACCGCCAGTATCCTCTGGGGGCGCCAGAGGCGCTTCCTATTCGGGGCGGTCAGAGCCGCCACCCACACCGGTGCACCATACAGCGCCATGGACCGGACAACCCCCGCGTACAGCCGCCTCGTGGGAACACTGGCCCCGCCCAAATTGGGCAAAAGTCGCCCTAAACTCGGCAACTCCTACTCTAAGGTAGTTTCTTAAGTCACATGGTTCCAAAACACTCAGTATTTGCATATTTGATAATTTTTCTCGCAAAAGTAAATACTCTTTCACCCATATTTTTCTTTTCTTTTTTGTATTGAAATTAATAGACGCAGCAAGAGCTATGGCGATTTTCTGGTGCTTTGAAAGTTTTCCCATCGCGCTACAACCGTCACCGACTACGTACGCTTTGCAAATGAGATAGCAGATAGCGGTATTCAGCCCAGTGTAATAGCGAGCTTGCCTAATTAGATTTTAAGACAGTCGTACTAAGACTGTCTGAATACCGCATAGTGTAATAAGCCCTTAAGAAAACTTAAAATTATGCCCATTAATACTTAAATCAACATAAAATACATTGCCTTATGTTTAATATTTCATCTAGGCTGCCTAAGAGCAAAGAGGTGAAGGATATCGGTTCCACTTAATGAATTATGCTTATTTAATTTCAATGGTTTTTGTTATATTTTATTTGAAAGAAATTTGTATTTTTTGAGTCAATTTTGGGCATAATTAAATTAAAGGAGCTTTGGCTTATTTTAGATTATTAATAAATATAATTTAATAATTAGCATATGTAACTTAATAGTTTGTTATAAATCGTTATTTGTTACTACTGCGATTAACAATTACTTAATTGTTAATCGGGGTTGGATTTTAAAACGAGTCGCCTGAATTTGAGGGTATTGGTGGTGTAGGGGGCTTAAGGGAGTTAGTCTTAATTCCCCCACAGTAATTTTGGCTGCCGGAGTTGCGTCTAAATATTTTAAAACAATTTTCAAAAATTCTTAAATACTCTTGCAATTATGCAAAACGGAACGTAATTTTTATGCTTTAGTACAGTTTTTCAAATGTAATTTTTAGGTTTTATGTGAAAAAACGTGAAACGAAACGCAACCCGCCATCTTGGATGGATGATATTGACAGCTAATGTCAAATTTGTGCGTCATTCCTTTGCTTTCGAGTATAAGTGAATGTGTTCTTCCGTATCGATTTGTGTTTTTTCTACGACTTGGCTACCTTCTTGGAATCTGTTTGGATTGCTTTACTGTACGACCTCGACTTACTCACTTTTGGACACTGAAATAACGCTATCGCAGCTTGCAATGGCGTCTGGAAGTAGTGGAAGTGGACACCCGGAACCGGTACCGTCTACGAGTTCGGGCCTTGGTGGAGCATCGGCAGTATATGAAGATGTTTTCGAGGACGACGGGCCCTTTCTCGATCGACATCTCTACACAGAAGAGGTTCTTATGATGTGGAATTTGGCGAGAATCATAAAAAAATTGGGCACGAATGAGCAGTGTGTGGCATTCGCCGAAGAAAATGGATTGGTGCAGACTCAAAAATTATGCAGAACACATCGCACTCCCATGAAAATAGCCAAATCGACCAACAGGTCATTTGGTTCTTGGTGTTGCACCAAAGGCAATTGTAAATCTAGATCTAAAATACCACGCAATAACGGGACATTTTTTGAAAATATAAAAATTGATTTGGTGCATGTTTTCTATCTATTATATGCATATTCAAAAAAATGGAGCTACAATGACGTCATAAATGAAGATCCCTACAAGGAACATTTTGAAAGGTGCCTGGGCCGGGCCACCATATGTGACTGGTATAATTATTGCCGAGAAACCATTGTGGCATACCAAATTGACAAAAAAGAAGTAGTTGGAAAGATTGGTGGCCCCGGAAAAATAGTCCAGATCGATGAATCTAAATTTGGAAAAAGAAAATACAATCGAGGTAATTATATTTTATATATTATGTCTTATAGGAAATGTATAAGAGCAGGACATAATTCTTAGATAATTAATAGCAATCTATTACTCCGAGTTGGCACAATCGGACTTCATTGGGTTAGGTTAGATGGCTAAGGCGGGAGCGCAGCGCAGCGAAGCTCCCGCCTTAGCCATCGTGGTTATTTTTTTTTAAACCACCCAGAAATAGGAGCCCCGCATAGCGGGGCTCCGTCGACTCATAATTGAAGCCAGTTTTTATATATATATTTTTTTTTGTTATAGGTCGCCATATTGAGGGCCATTGGGTTCTCGGTATGATTGAGGATGGATCTGAAGATCTGAGGTTGGAAGTGTGCCCAGACAATATTTGCTCTGCTGAGGTTTTGGTGCCACTTATATTGAAGAATGTGGAAGTTGGCACCACCATCCACACTGATTTTTGGAAGCATATGATTGCTTGCCAGAACATGGCTACATACACAAAAAAGTCAACCACTCGGATCGTGACAACCCATTCATAGCTGAAGATGGGACTCATACTCAACGAATTGAGTCCCAGTGGAGAGCTGTTAAAAGATTTTTTAGGAAGGACAATTTTAATAACACAGAAAATTTTGCAGATGTTATTTTTGAATATTTGTGGCGGCGAAATAACGTAAAATACAGGAAAGATCCATTCATGGAATTAATAAAAGCAATAAAACATGTATATAAAGTGGAATAAAAAAAATTGAAAAAAATTCTGTTTTTATTTTTTCTAAGGGAACCAAGTATTTCCGGCGGGTGAAAATGGTGAGGGGGGGATCCGGCCCCTTCCCCCCCCTCCCCCAACCACTCACAACCCCTTATAATGGCGACGTATTTCGAAATTTTTACCGTTAATCGTGACTGTCATTGTGAATACTTGTCTTAATATTGCAAGTAGTAGGTATATTTTACGTAATGTTTAAAACGTGTAAATTGAACTTTTGATTTGATGCCGAGAGTAAATTGTAATGATACCTACCAATGTAAAATTGATACAATAAAAAAATAAGACTTATTTAACCATCTACTTTTTATTCCAATAAAAAAAAATAGTAGGTACTTATTAACGTTGTCGGCTGGGTTTTATCATCTCAGGTGAAAGACGTCCACTTCTGGACATAGGTCTCCTCCAAGGTTCGCCACAACAACCGCTCCTTGCTGCCCGAATCCAACGGCTTCCCGCAACCTTCACCAGGGTCGTCGGAATACCCGGACCTACCCACGCTCCGTCTTCCGGTATGCGGTCGCCACTCTAGAACTTTACGGCCAAAACGACCATCGTTTCTGCGAGCAGTTGCCACTTCAGTTTAAACTTAACTGGGTTTCACGTATGAATGCAGTCTTATTTTAATCTCTATATTCAAATGTCCGATTTAAAAAAAAAAACGATTAATAATATATAAAGACAAGAGATCTAAGAGGATTATAAATACTTTCTACTTATAGTAACTTATACAACAGACATTCCTTTTTAAATATTTAACTTTAAAAGAATTGTCGTTTTATATTTTCAGAAGTTATATCTAATTTTAATTTTGGCAAAAAGCTTTTTGACAATGTCGCTATCAACGAATGATTCGAAAACAATACCAGTTTTCGACGTAAAAGTTGTTGTTGTCGTGCAAGGGCTTTTACGATCACCTTTGTGTAAAATATGCTCAAAAGCCTTTTTACTTTAGCTTATTGCCGTTCACTGCTGAACGAAGGCGTCGCCCAAAGAGCGCCAACCATCCCTGTCTTGGGCAGTCCGCATCCATCCGCTACCAGCCATTTTCCTTTAAAGCTTCTAATGATAACAAATTGCCTTTAAAATAATGTACTACTTACAAACTCTTAAATACAAATACAGCGAAACGTGTAGCCACTTCTGACAGCGAGTTTTGTAAAAAGTTAAGAGTGAAGGCACCGCAAAAATATTCCTCAAAAAGTTAAAGGCTTTAAAAAATAAATTAAGATTGTTTAATCTTTGTATGTTTTGTGGTTGGGGGAAGGGAAAGGTATGTGTGGACAAACGAAAAACGTTAGGTGAATAATCGGCAGACTCAGATGTCTCGGGGTCCGTCTGGGTTTTTCGTTTCTAGGTTACACATGGTTCCCCGGCTATTGGTACCCAAGACAAAGTGCGATTTTAGTCGGTTCAAGTCCGACATAACCACCCCGATTTTCGCACGGAAAGGACACCAAGGACATACCTTGATCAAATTGGTTGAAGTACCAAAGAAAGGCAAATCAAAAGCACTTAAAGACCGATAGCTCCTGAGGTATAAGGATAAGTGGGGTATACCTAAGTGGCGGGCCGTTGTCTCTGTCCACCTCAAAGGGAGCAAGAAGTAAACTTACTTAATATCTAAGCTTAAATCAGAAACATATTTAGATGAACAACATATTGCCAATTCCAATTTCAGACTTGTTAGTTAATTGTAAACTAAGACTAAACAATGGGTCCTATGTAAGATGAGTCATCTGTTAAATTCTAATTTTACAGGTTTTTACATAACTTTTCTAAAATGATAGTTTATTCACTATACATAGGAACCATCGATAAGATAACCATACATATTAAATAAATAGTTCAAGTATATAAGGTACTAATAGATCTTAAAAAAATTTAAGTCACAATTTTTTTTTGGTTCACTTTTTTGTATATTAAATATATTCGACATACTATGCACTCAAGGAATAGGAGATTAATATTATTTGCTGTAATTCTATACATTCAAATTCTACATGTAAAAACTTAGAGAATTATATACATTTGTTATTTAAATGTCGTAAGGTATGTCAACTTCTACTTCAATGTATTCAGTTTTAACTGTCAAATTTACTGGTGGTGGTGATTTTGATCCCAACTGTGCATTTCCAGTTTTTTTTGAAGAATGAGCCTCGTTTGAACGTAAATTTTCAGGTACATCACTCGACGATGACAACGTTGATCGTAAATCATCCTGTGGTTCACTAAAACCTGATGAAGTTTCATTCAAATCATCAGGTGCTTTGGCCAAACCAGCTAATTTAAGTGCCGTTGAGGCTCTGAAGCTGTCTTTATCTTTTCTTTCCTTTCTATCAGGTTTAGTTAATTTCGGTACTGGTTTTTCTACTCCAGCATTATAATGTAGGTTTAAATGATAGTTTAATTTTGCCTGAAAAACAAAAGAAATTGATCAAGTATTGTTAAGCTTCTTTGTCGGCTTCCACCGTAGCATATCCACATTTTCGACCCTGGGCTGTCTTTGATTGAATATTTAAATAACAGTATATAATACTAGATTTGATTTTACGTTTAGTCAAACAAGTGTATTTTTTTTTAATACCTAATGTCTGTACCGTCTTTCATTACTACTTTGCTTATTATAAGTTCTCAAAATTTTCGAAAATATGTCATTTCATGTGTTGCAGATTAAAATATCAATTTTATTTAAGAAAGTTAAAAATTAATGAATATTCTGTGTAATATCATTCATTTATTGAGTAGTTTAAGTTTAACATTAAAATTTCAAAGTTATTCATTGCAAAAAATTAATAAATATAATTAGCCACTTGCCATTTTTTGTTGTGACTTGTTCACCAGATAGATATATTCAGATTAAATTCATCCCGTGGGTGTTATAAGTGCCGACAAAGAAAAAAAATCTATGCAGGACAACAGCACTGCAAAGAGAAGGAAAACTTGAAATAAACCCTGTACCAACTCGTTTGGCCAGCACAGTAGAATAGGCCAAAACCACCTTTTCAAGGACAGGCCTATGTCAAACAGTGGACTGGTAAAGGCTGTTGATGATGATTATTATTATTGTATTTCTTGTGTACTAAAACTACATCTTCTTTACCTTTGTAGATAATCGTGAACCACACACTGTACACTCAAACAACATGTCCAAATGTTTTACTAAGATGTGCTGCTTTAGGTTGCTATTCCTTGAATAATACCTGAAATGAAAAAAACGTTACATTAAAGACAACAAATATTTTTTAATGAGAGTAGGTACTACTCAATTATTATACTGTACCTTTCACAATTTTCGTATGGACAATGAAATATTCTGTTAAGATGTGAATGTATTTTCACGTGTCGAACTATATGGCATCTCTGTTTAAAAGCTCTCCCACATTCATCACAAATATACTCTGAAAAAATCAAAGTGTACCGTTTTAATATATTTTAATCTTATTTTTTTGTTATACAGTTGTTATATTTTAAATGCAGATGGTATGTATGTTTATGTTATGGTATGTATATTTTAAACGTTCTTTGTAGTTATCAGCACACCCCTGTAGATGTGCTGTTAAACTGCAAAGAACGTTATATACATGGTGTTAGAAAAGTACCGGAACAGCATCATAATTTGCTACGGATGCATTTTTCGGAAATACGTAAAAGTTACGGGTTTTTTTCTGTCTATCCATTAGTGAACTTGAAATTGACCCTTTGTTATCTAAAGTTCAATTTGGTTAAATTTTCACATTGGATTACATATTTTTGAGTCCGGAATTGAAAAGAGAAGATTACAATCGGATATGACCTTCAGTACCCAAATTTAGACCTCTAAAGGTCGTCAATTCATTGAGGTTGATATTGGTATTTATCGATTGTTGGTGGTCAATTAAGGGCAATTTTACAAAAAAAAAATGGTTGCTTAAAATATGAACAAAATTAGATGTGAACGGACGGTGAACGAACAACAAGTAGCGAGATGAACGAAATAACAGAATTGGGAGGTAGTAGGTAAATATCTTCTTACGTAGTTACGATAAACCCTATTGATTTACAATCATTTGCGTTATTGCCATAAGTATTTGACTTACTTTGTAATAGATGCGGTAATAAATAAGTATGAAATCAAACTACTAGTTATTTTAACTATATGTAGATCAAGGTCAATTTTAAGGTCACTAATGGATAGTCAGGTAAAATTCTTGTAACTTTGTGTTTAACATATTTCCGGCAAATGCATCCCTAGCGAATTATTCTTCTGTCCCGCCACTATTCTAACACCATGTATATAACGTTCTTTGCAGTTTAACAGCACATCTACAGGGGTGTGCTGATAACTACAAAGAACGTTTAAAATATACATACCATAACATAAACATACATACCATTTGCATTTAAAATATACGGAATCTTATCACAATATAAAGAACTAATTTTCATTAAATGATATAAAGGCATATTGAGGCGAGAACGACTATCCAAGCATATATAAATGAGTAATATAGGTAATAGGACAGAAAAACTGCAATCTAAATGGTATATAAAAGACATTTCACATACATGAGTGGTTTTGTAAGGCTAGCCTTTCAATATGCTATTTTATTTAATAGATCAAAATAGTTTTTATTGTTGTACCACAAAATATCAGTTACCTCAAATATTGATACTTCATTAAGGATATTTTATTTTATTTGGGCAGCTTATGACTAAATTTAGAATACACATGTGATCTGAATTCTCTATGTGCCATTTGCAAGTTTCCACATGTAGAAATAAAACAGTGTTAATATGTAAAAGCAAATTTTATAGGTACTAAAATATTCATAAGTTATTAAAACACGTTAGGTTCTAGATACAATATTCATGGTTAGTGCTACTGGAGAATAAATCAATGAGTTCATAATGGTTTAGTCTCTTCACCTAGACTAGGACAGTCTAACTAGCTTTGAGCCATTTTTTTATCAATATAAATTCTCACAACAACAAATAACACAAACAGTTACGATTTCTGTTTTACACATCTAATTCTATTTTTAATAATAACTATCAAGACCAAGAAGCACTTACCATCGTTTTGGTGTTCAGCTTTTAAATGTTGCTGATATTTCGACCAGTGGTTGTATTCCACTTTACATTCGTGGCATAAGTATACCTTGTGGTACCGCATGTGTCTCTTCTTAAGATATAGGCTCACAAAAGTTTCTTGGCATTGGTCACAACTACAAAAAAGTTAATTTACTCAAAAATATAATTATATTTACATTAGAGGGCACAGATTTTCCTTCAACAGCCAGTTTAAGTTGCGGGTTAGGTTTACAAACCACAAACCTGAAGTGCTTGAACTTTAGTCAAACTTTTCTTTTCTTTTTTTTTAATGACAACTCCCACACTAGTTTTATATCCTGTGTCACGGGTGACCTTACATATATTCACGAAACAGACACAAAGAACACCTAGACTTGGAATAACAATTTGTGGATCACACAAGGTATTGTCTCATGGGGTCATCCATATACTTTCAATTTTCTTTGTGCTAAGCTTGACAGTACTCTTTTGTAAGCAGGGCTACAATCAGAACTGGGACAGTCACACAGTGACTTATAGTCCACAAAATGTGGATATTTAATATCCATCAGTCCACCTAGGTATGTATGTATGTATATATTAGTCTGCTCAAATTAGACATAAAATTAAATAACAAAATCTCCGACAGACCTGAATTAGCTAGACACCTCTGGTACACCAGTAGAATTGAAGTGCCCAAACCCCCATCGATCCTGTGTGCTAAAAATGTTTTTCAGTCATTTTTTCAGTCAAGTTTTGGATATTTCTCGAAAACGAAAACTTTATCATAATATAGCCAGGACATTTTTTTTTTATCATAAAATTATCTACAAAAATGGTCTTAATACTTTTTTCCTCACAATCACTATTTCTAAGATATTGGGATTCTATAAGTTGAAGGTGTTATATTCTACATTATATGCAGACAAAGCCACATATATACCTAGTCAGGCACTTAATATTAATAATAATGCCTATCTGTGTCTCTTATATGTATAAAATATACAATACAACAAACTAATACAAAATAACAACTACAAATACAAAAACAAACAACTGTTATAGTAGGTGAAGATGTTGATTTGTTAATATTGCTCACTGCACTGTCTCCAATTGATAAAATTATTCACTTTTTAAAACCACGAAAGGCTCAACAGCGAACAGAAAATCTATTCTTTATAAAGTTTACCTGCTTCTGGAAAATGCCAAACTTAAACTCAAATATCTTTATTTATTAAAATCATTAAAATTATTTGAAATCGCCTCTTGTGTACTCTTAACTCATAGATCAACACACACAACAGTAACAATCTCTGTTTTGTCAAATATTTAGCAAACTCAATATATACATATCGTAAATCTCTTATATGCCTGTGCCAATCAACAACTGCCAAAACCTTATTTTGGAAGGGGTGAACCCAAGGTCTCTAGCAGAAATTCAGCTCTGTCGGAGTTTTTATTATTTGTAATTTCTATTTTGACCACACTATATGCAAAATATATAACTAATAATTATTCATTTAGAGCTCACCAAAATTAAAAAAAGCTTTTTAACAATTAAATTAGGAACAAGTCTCCAATATGCAGTGAGAACTATTACTATTTATTTTAATAATATTTGATAAGGTGTTAGTTTTAATACCTGAATGCTTTGACACCAGTATGTTGATACATGTGAGCACTTAGCTGATTTTTCTTCTTAAACTGTTTATCACAAATCTCGCAAGCATATTCCAGCTCATGTACTGTGTTCAAGTGACGTTTGAGATTCTGACGATTAGCAAAAGTCTTGAAACATTTTGGGCAACTGGAATGCAAATGTTTTAGTAAATATGAAGATTGTTGCTATGTTTACCTTGAGGATTTCTGTTATATTTTTGTTCTTTTTTGAATGTTACAATTCTGTTTGATATCTAATATTGTAGATCTACTCACCTGTACACAACGTCGGTTTCTTGAGGCATGTGTACAGTGCGTAAGTGACGATCCAAATGACTTTTACTGGTATATGCCTTACCACAATTTGGTTGATCACAAAGGTAAGGTCTCTGGGGAATAAATACCAAGCTATAGTTTTATATATATTATTACCTATAAATGTTCATATTGGTATCTGTGTTACGAAACGTACTATGTTATTGTGTGCTAAAATGTGTTGCGTTAATCTATAAGGTCTATCAAAGTCTGCCTTGCATCCTTGATAGGTACATCGATAAACCTTCCTCGTATGAAGATACTCCATCACTTTCTCCATGCCTAATTGTTTCAGTTTTTCATCGGCTTTGACTTCCATTGTTTTGACGGACGATAGTCAATTCATTTATTTACTTCTGCCGTAAGCACATTTTGTTTACTTGCATTCAAAGAATTATTGCGTACATGAACGACGATAATAAGAAAAATCTCTTATGACAATAAGCAAGTTTAAGCAACCTTTCACTTCAGTAATTTCACTCATGCGCGGAATATACCTACGGATGATTTCTGCAAATTGAGCAAGGAGCTAAAAACTAGAAAAGATAAAGTAGAGTTACGAACTAGAGTTGTGTAGCTCCTGAGTGAGTGATATAAAAGATATATATCATTCACGACGATAAAATCTATCACTCACTCACACTTGCTCCGAATATATCAGTAACTCACTACTAGCTCACTAGATCACTAGCTCAACGACGCCGATCTTTGTTTCATGAGCGAGTGAGACTAAAGATAAATGAGTGAGATAGATGATGGTTGAGTTCACGCTAGTTTCTTTATGCAAAATGTACATTATTTTCATAGGATCAAAGTTTAAAATTACTTAAGAATTAAGCCTGACAAGTACAAGGAAAATTAAATTATATTTGATTTCTATTATACAACCTAAAACAAGTACAAGAAATAATTTCTTATTTTTAATTTTTAATTATTATATAAAAGGGTGTTAATAATTATGCTATCTTATCAAAATGAATAATTTTGGATTTAAAAAAAATAGGTTAAAAATGTAGTTTCAAAAACTGAATTTAGGTTTATAAGAAAATAAAGAAAGATTTGTGAAGCGAGAGAGGCTTGAAGTGAGTAATATACGAGTATACTGAGCTAAACGATCTAGATGAAGAAATGAATTAATTGAGAGACCAATCAATTGAATCGGATCAATGAGCTAGTGAGATGAGTGATATATATCTTTAGAGCGAAATGATATGTATCAATCTTTTCAGCTCAGTGATACATTTTGCGCATCACTATTACGAACAGGCACAGACAGCCGAGGAGATACGCTAGCGATGGTGATATGTTATGGAACTCGATGATCATTCGATATTTATAACCATAAATCGGGTCCGATATTTTGATTTTTTTAATGGAGCATTCCCCTGGACTACCAAATCTAGCCGGTTCAGTAAAATTATCGTAGAATTAATTAAAATTGTTTTTGATCTAGTTAATCCAGAGGTCGTGGGTTCGATTCCCACCCAGGACAAATATTTTCATCATCATCATCATTTATTCTGTATCTGGATGTAATTTATCTATATTATCGGAAAGCGCTGATTTAGCGGTATGTAGTATGGTACGCGACTGCAGTCCATGAGGCCTCGGGTTAGAATCCCGGACCGAGCAACATTTTATGAGGTTTGTCTGAGAGAAAAAAAAGCCTGAGTTACTCCCTATATCAGGGGTTCCCAAACTTATTTAGTCTACTGCCCACTTTGAGAATAAATTATTTGCACCCCCTTTTTTCACCCACTTAAAACCACTATAACTTCAAATTAAATTAATTAATTATTGTGAGCTATATTAGCGGAGATTAAACATTAATTCTAAACGAGACTTTTACTATAACCCGCAAGAGCTACCTTAGGACCTGAACGCAGCTGGCAGTACACAACGGCGCTCAGGTCTCAAGTTAACACTTACGGGCTACACCTGCCAATGAGAACGATTATTGAAACGCAACTTTATAGTATTCAGACAGAGTATCTTTTATTCAAAATAAAACAAACATAATCGATTCTTAGATAAAAACTAATGTGAAGGATGAATCTGATGCTGTTTGCTTAAGATTTAAGTTTGTTGATGTCAGGTTCCAATTTACTCAAGAACAGCCGCAAGTCGCCACGTTCGGTAACATGCAAACAATTTCTCTTTTTAGTAAGCAGCGTTGCCACAGCACTAAATCCACAAATATGACGATGGGAATGCCATCAAGAATCGTTGAACGAATGACCACACTCCAGGGTACAATTGCGGGATCGGTTTTTGTAGTCAAAATTCTTGGTAGCCATTTTTGAACTTGCTTTTTATTTCCTCGTTTGTTGTCAATTCTATAAGGTCTTCTTCCAGCTTATAGTCTGTTTTTTAATCTCGTAGACTAAACTGACATTACGAGTGTTGTCAGTTTATTGCAATTCTTAAAAAGTGATGTGGCACAACCGAAACTTAGCGTTAATAAAATCAAGTATCGTTTTTTTACTATAAGTTATCCTGAAATAATGTGTTTATCCTGAAATAATGTGTAGGTACTTATTTAAAACGTAATAATACAAAATTAATAATGTAAAACATATATTTTTAATTAAAAAACTTAATTACAGGTATTCGCGTTAATCTGATTCAGACTCCATGTCTGAGGAATATTATGAGTCATCAGAATCGCCACCTACTTCTATGATAAACCTATCAGTAATGTCGTCGGTTATATGGCCCAGATGACACATTTGATCTTCAATTTTAATTACATGGACTACACAGTCTTTCCACAGCTGCGGGGTCACTTGACGAAGCCCTTCTTCAAAAAGGCTTCGTACTTCATTCATTTTGAATGTTTTATTATTTTTAGTTACATGCCCCTTTACTTGAGCCCAGACCAACTCAATCGTTCGAATTACGTATTCGTACAATTGTTCGTATGGTGTCAAGTTCCATAATTGCCGTATTTTTTAAGTTCTGCCGTTTCGTAAGAGAAAAGGGTTAAGATTGCCGTTTTAACGCGTACGGGAATAACACTGATGGCGTCTATAATTTTTTTTTTGTTTAATCTAAAGGCATCGAAACATGGTCGGGTTACGCATGGCGTTGCGTGGTCAGATTTCCCTGGCAGTTTGTAGCACGTCGTGCAGCCGTGTGTACGTACGTGAATTTTAAATGTAAAACTTTGAATGAAAATTAAATTCGTCTATTTTAAATAAAAAGTTACGATTCAACTAACCGGTATCGTAGGTACAACACTGCACAAAAGAGCTGGCAACATTATTTGTAAATTTGACATTTGCATGTGTCAATTTAGTCTACGAGATTAAAAAACAGACTATAGGTGACATTGCTGTGTTGACATTTGAGAACGGATCCAACACCCTGTAGGTATTTCCAAATTCAAAATGTCCTGGTATATGGTATAGTTCGGTGAAATCAATGTGGAGGTTTAGCAAATGTTGGCAGTAGGCAAACAAGTCGTCATTACTGCAGGATACTGATAGATTCGGCAAATTGTGAAACTCACGTCTGCCCATATTCTTTTTGTGTAGAAGCAGTTTGGCTGCGATAGCAGCAACGACATTTTTTGTATCATTAAATTTAGTTCATCACCTTGTAGTTGGAGATTCATGTCGTTGAACAATTTATACAGGTCTGTCATGTAAGCTATATCATTCTTTGACGTAATGAGCTTGTTGCGCAATTCTGTATATTTAGTTACCAAGAACTCTATCACAAAGTCAAACAGGTTGTAAAATCGAATCAGACAATTGCCTCTTGATAGCCAACGAACTTCAGTATGAAACAACAAACGGTTGAAATCTTCGTCCTTACTAACACAAAGCTGATGAAATTATCTATCATTCAAGAGCTGTTACGGATTTTATTGACTGCTTTAATGACATATCGCAGTGATTGAAATAATCGTTCACTTAAGTTTCTAGCAACCAAATGTTGTCTATGAATAACGCAATGTACAGCAAGGACATCTGGAATTTTATTTTTTAAGTACGCTATAAAACCATCCGTAGCAACTGATATAATATTTTTAAGGGAATCTCTTTTTTCATCACAAAACTTTTTCAATGTATTGAATATGATTTCGCCTTTTGTATCGGTCTCTAAATTTCTAGCAAACAATAGTTCTTTACATATTTTATCATCTTTAATAAACCTGGCGTAAGACAGCAACAATGCTTCATTAGTTGTTAAAGTGGACTCATCGAGCTGGATTGAGAATTGACTAGTCCTCAGAGATTGAACAATGATCCTTCAATGTTTTCAGACATTTCATCACGAATTGATGAAATGTCTTTGCACAGAATTATAACTCAAAGGATTTTTTCGGATAATATCTGAAGCTGGTTTATGAAGCACAGTAGTTATTACTTCCTTTATTGCTGGTAAAATTAACTCTTCTTCGATATTGTGTGGTTTGCCTTTTTGAACAATTAACAAAGAGAAATTGTACGAAGCTCGAAGTCTGTCGTCATCATGCCTAGCAGCTGCCGAAAATAGTTTTACTACACTCGGCTGAGTATTATGCTTCTTCTCTACTTAAGTCTTGAAAATATGCTACATTCTTGTCTTTCTTATCTGGATGCACTTTATTCAAATGATCTTGCGGTCTTGAAGGCTTCATTGCTTCATTCGAAAATGTATTAAGACATAGAAGGCACAAAGGCGACTATGGGTTTTGTGCGATTTTCAATGATTTTTTCAAGAAATTCAATTTAATATATTCCTCACAGTATTGCCGTCTCTTCTTTTTTACTTCCGACATTGTTTTGTTATGAGAAATACGTAAGTAAGTGTTGAACTTAAGTGAAAAACCTTAGATTTTTATTAAAAAAACAGTAATTAAATTTTTAATTAATGTCGTTGTTTTGCCAGATTTTTGAAGACTGTAAGGGCCCGTCCGCACAACGATATTTCATCGCGAGGTTTTTATTGGCATGGAAATAAATCAACACCGTAGCGCGTTCAATTTTTATCAAATCACAGTTTTTTTGCAAGTGTCAGCGTATATATTTCCTACGTGTCATCAAATTTTGAGAAAAAAAAAATTGCGGTGAAATATCGTCAGGCGGACGCGGACGAGACCTAAATCTGACATTCGATAGATTTAGTTTATTTTATTAGGTAGGTACATCTCTATGTCATTCTATTTCGTCCTATTTATTCTCTTAATAATGCGACGTAATCCTAAATGAAAATAAGTACTAAATTTTTATGTTATAGGTACCTTTATTTTATCTTTAATGCCTTAAAACTAAAACATAATCATTTTGTCGCCTCATAGTCAAGTCAGCTGACACACGTAAACAAAGGGTATGTCAATATTTTGTGAAGTGGTGAAACATTTGAGTGTTCTGTGATCTAAGTGGAAGTTATTATCGTTAATATGGATATAGACGGGTCTTCTGTACCTGGAGATATTGATCAAAATTTATTATTGCAATTTAGTTGCATGAACACTACAGATCGAGATGAACTTATTAATCAAATGCAAAGGCTTCTTGGTCCTTCTATCAATCCTAATACTGCCAGTTTCTTCTTGGATATGAGTAATTGGTAACTATGAATCATTGCCATTTATTAATTGTCAAAATATAAATATATCTCTGTGAATTTATATACATATTTCTTATGTATTTCAGGAACTTACAGACAGCAATTTGTTGTTATTTAGATTATAATTTACCACCAAAGTTGCCATCTATGTCTTTAAAAGCTGCTCAAAGTCAAGATACTGCTGTGAGCCCTGGAGCTTGGTAAGCCATTTAAATATATTTACCTATATTGTGTATTTTATGAATACATGAAAAATAAAAATATTAGTAAATACATTTATAATGATGTGTTAAGTTTAAGAAATATTAAGTGCTTTTTTATTTTAGTTTTGAACAAAGTTGGAGTATTGCTAACACTGGGATAGAAACCTGGCCAGGTAGCTGTAGACTGATACAAGCTGGTGGTGAATGTTTTGGTGCCACCCCAGTATATTTACCTCCACTGCCTGCTGGACATTCCACTACAATGACATTAAAGCTTGTAGCTCCATCCACACCTGGTACTTATAAGGGATACTTTCATTTGGTGACAGAAAAAGGTGACCAAATTGGAGGTTAGTGTTTTGTTTATCCATTTTTTTTTGGTTGATATTATGAAATAAACTTTCCTTGTTAAGTGTAACTTTGTGATGTATTTTCTATATCTACTGATCATAAAATGTCTAAAGGCCAGGAGGCCAAGTACCTGAAACACTAAGTTCACTTAAGCAAACTGACAGTCTAGGACCATATATTTAAAATATTAAACCAATTTAAGCTGCTGTCTTTAAGGTTTTGATTGGGTCTCCTGCATTATGTAAATATATATATATATATATATATATTACAGCATATCTATTAGGTTGGTTTAACCTCTAAGTATTGTACTACCCACTTTAGTGATTGATGCATTTACTTTTAAATACATTGTTACATGTATTATATTATGTAAAATTATGTGGAAATGTATGCTCTAGTTTATATTTTTGAATTGCAATTCATTCCACATTCAGAGCATTTGAGAGAAATTTTTATTCAATAAGTTTAATGACACAATTTTTTTTAATGAATTTTAGATACATTATGGGTGGAAATCACTGTAGAATCTGAGATGACTATGGCTCTTGTAGAACAACTAGCAGCATTACCCGTCCCTAGTAGTAATAGCCAGGTAAGATATAACATTTCTACTGTTGATATTTACTTCTTTATAAACATAAATTTCACTTATTAAATCAAACTGTTTTCAGATGCCATCACAAGATGACCAAATGTGTTGATGAACAGTGACTCAAGATATTTTGTAAAATTTTCATACATCTAACATTGATTATATTAATTATACATATTTTTCATTCATATTTATACGCCAAAGAATATGTAACCGCAGCTATTCCTTTTTTTTATTTACTATTTTGATATGATAATTTACTTACCTCTGTATAGTGTTTAATTCATAAGCGCAGCAGCACACAAGTTGTAATGTCGCTATTTTAAAATAGGATAAATGTAGATGACAGAATATTGCTAAGAATTGGTGATATTAGATTTTCTTACTTATTTTTTATTTTATTACCCTCAAAAAAGCTAGTGTAACTGGTACTTGGGATATTGATAAAATTTAAGATTCTAAAGCTAAGATCATAGATCATTAGAATTAAGAAATATTTGTAAACAATTTTCTCAAAATTAAAAAAAGGAGGGATTTTTATATGTTGATGCGAAATCACTGTCAATTGTAAATATATTTTAAAAAATTCTTTTATACTGAATAGCTTATAGGTTCATATTGGGTGATTTAGATTTATTGAAGTCGGGCACTTTTTTAGAGGATAATAATCATAAAACCTTTTGTCAAAGACCACTGTCAAGTAATGTGAAACTAAAGAGTTAGCTTGAAGAAGCCAGCTTTACTATTGATAAATTTGACTTTGGTTGTAAGCTTATATCATCTCTATACAACGGCTTCTAGCAACTATAAGGGCGCTTTCTATTTAGACGGTTGATGTCGTACTGCCGCCGTACGGTTCATGCAGAATTATTATGAGTGGGACGACAGCAGTACGACGCGAATCGTCTTAGGCCGGCCACACACGCTACGGTTTACTGGATAGGTAACTACAAGTACAGACAGAACGTATGTTGTATTGTGTGTGGGACAATCTTGTGTACCGGAGAAATCTTTAGGTACCGTACTGTGTTGATCAAAAATATATTTTTTTCAATCAATCAATCAATGGACTTTTATTTGCGAATATGGTTTTTTTTTTGTAATTTAAGCTATTACAAAATAATAATATTGTATATATATATATAATATAAATATTGATTTTAAAATTTAACCGTTGCTATACACTGTACACACTGTACTGTATAGGTAGACCTCTCCTGTAGCGTGGGTGGTCGGTTTTATTCGAAGAGGAACGCGGCTGCAGTCCAGTTGAATTTTAGTTATGTCCATCAAAACCCGATTTCAGTCAGTGCCCTGGACTCTGACGAGGAAGCGTTGTTAGTTCTCATGCTAAGGGAGAATGACGACGCACTAGAGCGTCGCCAATGTTTTCTTTAATTATATGTTATTCAATTCCAAACAGCGTGCTGCAACTTTATTACATGTTTACAGTCTTATGTATTTAAATCATCCATAATTACGTAGGTAATCCATGCACAAAAAGGTCCTCATTAACGTTACGAAGAAACACGATGCGTTCACTAGACTAGCGAACCACGAGAGACGTAGGTAGCATAAATAATGTTTACGCACGATCTTGCGTCGAGACCTTTTGTATTAAAAGTCATAACCCCCGTGAGCAGTACGATAACCGAACTGCAGCAGTCCGGCACCAACCGTCTAAATCGAAAGCGCTCTAATTCCCTAAGTTTTATATATTACCAGAAGGCACGAGTTTGCTATAAGCTTACGACTCATTAATGATTAAAGAAAAGCAATGTACAAAACACTATCAATATAATGTTGACTAGCTGTAAGAAAAAAAAATGGAACTTGTTAGATATTGTTGAATTTTACAAAATACATTATGATTTCATTAAAATATTTCTTTTAAGATTGCATTGCTAGGCATTTAATTTTTTTTTGGGAATTTATTTTAAAGTAATGTAAGTAAAAAAAATACATTTATAGAATTTTATTCTTTATTTTTTTATTTTCTTATGTACATGCAAAAATAATAATAATATCCTTAGTTAGAAAGGGCTTGCATAATACTTATTCGAGATAGAACATGGTACTGCAAGATTTAGGTGAGTAACTAAGTAACTAACCTTAACCAATGTCTATCTGATACTTAGAACACGAATATTTCATTGTTAACACTTCTACACAGCCATTTCCATTTCAATCTTTGGATGTGGATTATAATCTTTGATAATGAAATCCTCGTATTTAAAATCATTTATGGAATTTATTTTACGTGCAAACTCCAAAGTTGGAAATGGTTTAGGTGTCCTTTTTAGCTGTTGCTTCAATGGTTCTATATGATTTAGGTACACATGGGTATCTCCTGTAGTATGAATAAATTCACCAGCCTGCAAAATAACAGTTGACATTTAAAATAAAAACATACTTTTATTCATATTATCTTGTTATTACTAAGTTGATGAAACTAACATTCCTGAGGGCATAGTGTCTGGTTTATATCACATCAACTCGCCCTCGACGGCGAGCGCGGTTGGCGTTGCGACTGGTGAAGATTTCAGTGCGAGCCAATGGTGGGATGTGAAATAAATTCACACTAGGCCCTCTGGTGACTATTCACCGTTAAATACAACACGACTACACGATACTTGGGATTAGAAATGATTTTAGTAAGTTGATTTCCTCTACTAAAATACGAGCGGGATAGGGTAAAAATCTGCCGTGTCTTACCACAAGTATAGGTCTCTTTAATATCACTTCATTATGAATAAAAGCTCATTTAAGATTATCAGAATTTTCTACAACATTCAAGCTAACCTTTTTTTCTTTTTTCAAAGAACATCTCTGTACAAATTCTCTGCAGTAAAGTTCTAACAAGAGTGTAAGTCACAAATGCCACCTTTACAGAAGAGCAAAATAAATAATTCACTGAAGGTCAAGCAAAATTTGGTGTCAGTTCTTGAATGTCACAGTTTTTTTGTATCATTTTTAGGGTTCCGTACCACAAAAGGTAAAAAAGGAACCCTTATAAGATCACTTTCTTGTCCGTCTGTCCGTGTGTCACCACCGATTTTCTCAGGAACAGGTAGACCTAGCAAGTTGAAATTTATACCAGATACTGAAGTCTATGGTCCCTATTAGGTGTTTAAAAATCAAGGTCCTGAGTCAACACGATAAAAAGATATGGGCAAATTTAAATTTTCGCAAAAATTTGTAAGTACCAAAATTTACCTTAATTTTCAGCTTTTTTTTTATTTTTTGGAATTATTCCTTTATTTGTGCTGTCTGACGCTGTAACTTGCGAAAACCTACGTAAAATCTGAGTAGGTACGGAACCCTCGGCGCACGAGTTCGACTCGTACCTGACCGGTTTTTATTTTAACAAAATGTAGAGCTATCTGATAATCTGTGTGTGTGACTTATAAATTTATTTTATACAGTGATAGTTTAATAAAAATCCAGTGCTATTGTTAAGTCTCTTTCTGATTGGTTAAAAGAAAGCATGTAATTTTACTTCATCGAATGGTGTCGAAATGTTAAAACGGCAAAAAAGTGACTTATGCACTGATAATAATCTTGTGTGATAAGATATGCATTAATATAAGTTACCTCTAATCCTGTGATATGTGCAATCATGTGAGTCAGTAATGCATAGCTGGCTATATTGAATGGTACACCTAGACCCATATCTGCACTTCTTTGATATAGCAAGCAGGAAAGTTTGCCACTTGAAACATGGAACTGAGCAAGGCAGTGACATGGTGGTAGAGCCATTTTACTCAGGTCCAAAGGATTCCAAGCACACATAAGCATTCGCCTGTCAGCTGGTTTGTTCCTTACAAACAAAAATAGAATAATTAAGGCTACAGGTAAGAATTTCTTAGTGAACCGGTAGTATTGTTCTAACATTTTAGGTGGGCTACTAACTATAAACAAACATGCATTTTAAGATTACTACTGACAATAGACAAACATGAGTTTTAAGATTACTACTAAACAAAAAGAATCATGAAATGAAATTGGATAACACATTTGTCTTTAAATGAACAAAAAGCACATATTTCCAGCAACAATCTGATTTCTTTTTCTAGTTGCCATGATAACAATTACAAACATAAAATGGACTAAGTTTTCTAAAATAAAAATACTATTGTGTTAAATTGACCATAAGCAATGTAATATTTTTTGTAACTTAAAAAAAATATTTTGCTAGTTATGCATCACTTGTAAAAATTATGTAGTACTAGTAGAACTCACGGTGCCGTGGGAAACGAACATCTCTAAAACCACTCTTTAAAAAAAAGTACTGTCACTTAACCAACGAAAAAACTACTAATGGTTATGTTGTTGCATTGTATGCCGTGGAAGTGGGTGTGATGGATATACCAGCTGAATCCCTCTATAACCTGCTTAAAGACATTGGATGGCAAAAGAGCTTCAGTAAGCTCTTTTCTTGAATGAATATCCAAAGCGGTATAGCTAAGCTTGTATCAAATATGGTTAGGTAAAGGGGGTAACATTGGGAGAGTGGACATTGGAGTGTACTTATCTGTACCAATTTTTTTCTACTGTCTCTACTCAAATATATCAATAATTAAATGTTCTGATGGATGGACATTTCTTTGATTTATTATTATTATTATTAGGGTATTATGGACGAGCAGCAAACTTGCTGATGTGTCCACATCACTGCACTGGAGTAAGTTCGTGATGTAAGAGTTCCCGTGTACATGATTAAACGGTTGTTTAGTACAATGGGTTGTGCTTTTCTAACCATATATCTAGTTGGCACTTAAAACTGTTCACTGACTTTACGGTCACAACATTTTCCGGAAGCTTGTTCCATATCGCAACAACACGATTGTTCAAAGTGTGATAGGCTACCAGCGACTGTGAGCGTGAGCGATCTATTGCGAAGCTGTGTCCCCGTGATGAGTATGCCTTCCGCTGGAGGAGGAACATATCCTTGATATTCGGAAGATCATATCTTGAGCTTAGTATTTTATAGGTTTCAATAAGATCACCTCTCATCCTGCGATGTTTTAATGTCGGTAATTTTAACACTTTTAAGCGTTCCTCGTAAGTCTTATGTCGCAGTCCATACGGTATCCTAGTTGCTCGCCTTTGCACACTTTCCAGCAGGTCAACATCCTTTACAAGGTAGGGATTCCAAATTTGAAAACCGTATTCTAAGAGAGGCCAGCCATACGTTTGATAAATTTTTGTGAAAACTGAAGGTGCCATGTGTTGGAATGCACGTCGTATAACATATAGGAAAGAATTTGCCTTTTTAACAATAATATTTAAGTTGCTGGTTATAGTTACTCCAAGATCTTTTTGCGACTTGACAGATGCAACTATTGTGTCACCTATTGTGTATGGTACTTCAGGGTTGTTCTTACCCAGACGCAATACTGTACATTTGGATGCATTGAGCTTCGCAATCCACTCTTTGGTCCACTCTTGTAAATTGTCCAGATCTGATTGCAGTTGTCCTGACCGAATGACAGGATCACCAACGAACTTTAAATCATCAGGGAAAAAGCATGACTCACACTCTATTAATACTATTAAATCTGCAGTGAAAATGTTGAACAGGATAGGAGAGAGAACCGAGCCCTGGGGGACACCACTCAGGACCTTCATTGTCTCAGATAATGTGTCACCGACTCTGACTTGGTATGTTCTATTTGCAAGGTAGTTTTCAAGCCATTTTAGGAGATTTCCAAGCATACCAAAGTGCTCAAGTTTCAACAATAGTTGGTTGTGAGGAACCTTATCAAAAGCATGTTCGAAATCCAAGTAAATGACGTCCACACTTCTTTTTTGATCAAGTTCCCTTGACCACGTGTTAACACATGTTAGTACATTAGTTACCAACAACAAAGCCATGTTGTTTCACAGAAATAATGTTTTGTCGGTTGAGGAATGACCTGATATGGTTTGATATGATCTTCTCCATACATTTACCTATAGCACTTGTGAGGCTTATAGGCCTAAACTTAGCTGGGTCAGTCTTATCACCGTTTTTGTATACAGGTGTCACTATGGCATGTTTCCAATCCCTGGGTAATCTATTGTTTGTAAAGGAGGTTCTCCTTATTTCTGCCATTACAGGAGCAATGAGTTTACCTTAAGGTTCTTTAGTACTTTTGCAATTTCCTCTTCCTCAAATGGGATATCACATAGGGAGGCTTGAACGCCTGCAATGCCACTAATCTTAGGTATATTGTTTATAGGTGGTTCCTCAGAGTATGCTTTACTGAATTCCTCAGCAAATGTATTAGCAATATCCAGTGGACTAGTCACTAGGTTGCCAAGCGGGCTCCGCATAGCAGGTGGAATGCTAACCTTACAGGACGTACACCTACGCAAGTATGAATAGAAGCATTTGTCTCCATGTTTATTCCAAGTAGTCTTCTGTTGTTTTACTGGCAGAGTATACATCCCAAAGTATGTGTTTTGCATGTGTTAGTTTTAATATGTGCGGTTTAATCCAAGGTTTATTTTTGTTTTTCTGCCTGACTGTCATTGGAGGGGCGTGTTTTTCTATGTTAGCATTCAGTATTGTTTTTACAGTGTTCCAGAAATCTTCCACTTCTTCAGTTCTGACTATATTATTTAGGCCTTCGCAGAGGTCCTTGTTAAACTTATTGAAGTCAATCTTTTGATAGTATCGCTTCTGTTGCAGTTGGGAACCTGATGGGCAAGTGATTCACTGCATTTGAAGGTGCAATACACAGTGATCGCTCTTGCCAATAGGTGGTAGATGGTTTATACTGGATATCATAGAACCATCGTTGGTCATAACGAGGTCCAGTAGTGATGGTATATTGTTCTGCCAAAATCTTGTGGGGCCGGATACTAGCTGATGGAGATTACTGTCAAGAAACATAGTCTGAAACAACTGTGATGCGTCACTCAGTCTTTGGTCTTGGTGTGAACACATAGGTCATTTATGGTTTGCATTTTGGTGGTAAAAATGTATTATTTTAAACTAGATGACTTCATACACCACTCATTAACAACGTGGTGACGGATTAAGAATACGGATTGTCACCACCCCCATTCATCCCGTGGGTTTCGTAAGAGTCGACTAAGGGAGCAAACTATGCAGGACAACAAAACTGCAAAGAGAGGGAAAACTTGACACAAACCCTATACCAATCCGTCTGGCCAGCTTTGTTTAGTAGGCCAAAACCTTCTTTCTAAGGAGAGGCCTATGTCCAGCAGTGGACTATTAAAGGCTGTTGATGACCACTGATTAACATTCTAATTTACATTAGGGTAGTGACATTGTTATACTATATATTATTATATATGTTGACTTATAAAATAGAAAGTATTGGATTCAATTCTCAATAGTTTGATCTGAATCAGTTTAAAAAATGGATTTTTGGGGCAGTATTAATTATTACAAAATGTGACTCATTTGTCAGTTTTTAAAGTCTTATATAGAATAAAATATGGTTATTTCTCAAAAAGAGGCAAGGTACTCACTTTATTAAGTCTATAACATTTTGTAATTGATCTATTCCTTGTCCAGTGTAATCTGTTTTGCAATCTATGTATTCAGCTCCACTGTGTCTCCATTGAAAGCCATAAACAGGACCTAAATCACCTGTGGGAATCAAGTGTACCCTATAGCACTACTAGTTACTGCCTACATGTATTTGGCTTTTTTAGACTGCTACAACTACAGACATTTTATTAGAACTTAGATGGAAGCCTAATGTTAGTTAATACAGGGATTATAAAGTAATGGGCAAGTGTAAGTTTTGGTAGTTACCTTCATCTCTTTCTGTGAAGCCTAGGTTATCTAAGAATTTTCGAGACCCGTTTGCATCCCATATATGAACCTTTACAGCAGCAAGATCCTTAGAATCGGTCGAACCAGATATCATCCATAATAATTCTTCGATAACCCCCCTCGTAAATACGCGTTTAGTAGTGAGTAATGGCAATGTGTTATTCTTCAGAGAATATCTTTGCATTGCTCCAAAAATGGACAAAGTGCCGACGCCAGTCCTATCAACTCTTTTGTCACCTGCGTGGAAGATGATTAGATTTATTCAATAAATACACTATAATTATTTACCTATTTTATTTTATGAAAAGAATAGAGACGATGTAGCAGCGTTAAGAACTTACCTGAATCGATAATTTGTTTAATTAATCGTAAATATTGATATTCATCATGAAAATGATTTAAACCATTGTTAAGTTCCATAGTTTCTAGATAAAAACGAAACTTGAACAGCCAATTATTTACCTTAATATAATTTCGACTAAATATCTTATTATAATCAAAAAGGCGCCAAAACTGACTTTGTATGTGACGGCCGTGACGGGCCGTGTGACCCGTGCGTGACCCCTAGAGATGCAGACAAAACCTTTTTGTCGCAACTCACATGAAACAATTGAGATTAGTCGATCAAAGATCATACTTGTGATTTCTAAGCAAAAAAACGCGTAAAAGCGAATTAGATATTGAGTGAAGAATGTTATATTTTAGGGACATTTAAGATAAAATAAGAGAAAATGGGAATATAACCCGAATGCAAAACTTGAATTCAAAGCTGCAAGTGAGCGATTTTCATTATTCTAGTACCTATTTTTATTATTTTTTATATATTTTCAGGAATTCTCAGTACTACTATATTATGACAAACTGTAAGTGAAGGCACGGCTGATGATGGTGTATTTTCTAATTATCCGACGGATAGAAAAAGGAGACGGGAAAGAAGAATATGCAATAAAACAATTTCGATAACTACTTTGAAATTCTACGACATTCCTATTGCTACTGAATTAAAACTCAAATCAATTAATTGAATCAAATCAAGTGGAAACATTTTTTTAATGTTTTCATAAATTACTCTCAAAATAAAGAGAAAATAACGAAACTTTGTCATATGTTGATGTTTCAGAGAAAAAGCAAAATTAGTGTCGAGTGAACGATTATATCGGCATGCGTGTAAACGGCCTATTATAGCGACGCTGGAACTAACGACACGAACTCCGTTTTCAATTAAAAATCCACTTTCTTGTTTTTGCAATGATACTTCGTAACTTAGTAAAAACGCATTATCGAAGAAGAGTATCTGAACCTCTACTATTTTTTTAATAATTTGCTATAAGAGGCCATATAGTTTTATTGACAAAAATAAAATTGAAAATGAATGAAATTATCTTGAAAAATTGTTTTGTTTTCTTTTTATTAGTTAGTATCTTCTATGTATGGTATGGTATGTATACTCGTACAATATGAATGATGACAATGTGTATATAGATAGGCAAAATTTGTGCTTTGATTGCTCCCGTTCAAGATAAATTTTGATGTCAACAATAAATCCCGCAACCGACCAAAATCGATCATCGATAGCGAGTCAGAATTAACTTTCAATATACTCGTATGTACTTCTCAGATTAAATAAAAAACGTTAAGATAGTACTCAGTTAACAAAGAAGTGAGGCCAATTAAAACTACGCCTTAGCGTGTAAATACACAATTACACGCACGCACGTAGAACGAAACTACGACAGGGGCAGGAGCAGACGGTTCACCTGATGGAAAGTGGCTGCCGCCATGCATGAACGCCTGCATGAAAAATGCCAAATTGTGTTGTGAAAGGGTGTAAAAATGAAGAGATAGATAGTAGAATGGAATCGCATTTCACGCATAAGTAAGCGAAAAAAAAAATTCTATAAAATAAAATTATGATGGCAGCACTTCGTTAAAGTTAAAAATTGACTTTCTTCAAAATTTATTGAGCGGGTACCAAAACGATGGGTGTCATAAATGTCTTAGAAAAATATAGTTATTTCCAACTTATAGGTACCTACATTCAAATGTTAATATGGTTAGGTAGAGGGGGTAACAGGGAGCAGTGGAGGTGAGCGCAAGGAGAACCCCTCAAAATCTATGCCTGGGTCGCAATTCCCAGGCGCTGTCGAAGTCGCATGTGTTGCCCCCATCTATCACACGCTGGGCCCGGCACACGGTGAGCTGAAAATCGGCCTTCATAGACTTATACAATTAACTCATAGACAAATGTATCTATAATACTTAAATAATATCCTCGCTAATAATACCTAACCTCTGTTTTATTTAACTTATTACTAAAAGAGAATAAGCAGCTAATTTTTTTCCTTCTTTATTTATATTATATTCTTATTATTTGGTTCAACATTCTTCATATCAATGTTCTTAACTTAGACACTAAAATGAACCGTTTTAGGAGATTATGTAATTAGATTTTTTCTACTTCATACAAATTATTCGTACAAAATTCTAATTCCTTCGCCTTTGTGTAGAATTAACTCGGTTGTCATTTTTGTATGTAGTAATAATAAAAACTAATAATACGGCACTTGCAAATTGAAATACCTAAGTCTATGAAAGCCGATTTTCAGCCCACCGTGCGGCACCCGCACGCTAAATCCATGGAGCGCTAAGAAATAGACCTCTGGAAAGAGAAATGCAAAATAAAATTACGATTTTCAGGCAGTTGGGTTCTTATTTTTCCAATAATTAACTTGTTAGTTGGTAAAAAAGGATCTAACCAATAAACAGTGTTTGTGTATTATAGTTTTTGAATGTAAACACCAGTTACCACTAACAACAAACCAACAAAGTGCTGAAATGTGTAAAAATAACAAACAGGCTTATTTCGAAAATTGTTTACCTATTACGATTTTTATTCAATAAAGTTCTTTCAAAAATATAGTTATTTGCAGATTGTATTCAAACACGTTTGTGAGTATAATAATTTATTAACAATGTTGGCGCGAAGGAGGATTGATAGTGTTTATACTCATATAGATATCTTTTTTTTTCCCCGAAGTGGTGGAAAATACCTTCGGATTGCCGGCTCCATTGGGATATAGGAGCCAGGAGTATGTATTGTTTCCACGAAAAACCACCCTGACGGCCGGCCCCAGGCGCCCTACTCTGGGGAGGATTTCAGGTTTCCCCCGGATCGACGCCACACTTAACTAAGCCCTATCTCAGAGGAAGCATGCCAATCAGTCTTACAGATACTTGGAACCGCAACCAGGGAACTTATTTACCTTTTTTTTTTCCGTGTGGAAATCGCCTCGGATACCAAATATCGGTGGCATGTCGGACTCGAACCGACTGAAACCGCACGCCGTCTCGGGTACTAATGGCCGGGGAACCAGGTATACGCTAGAAAGGAAGTCCCTGGTGCCCCGACATACCTCGGGCCATCTACAGACGAGTAGACGACCCCCCCCGTGTGGGAACCCAATGTTCCCTCTGCTCCCTGGAAGCGAGCGCGCTTCGCAACGCGCTCGCCGCCACCCCGGCCTGCTTCTGCTAGGGTGACAGATGGCCTTACCTGTCACCCCCAGGCCTGCGCTTATGGAGGACGGAGGTCGCAGAACGACCTCCGTCCTGAGTCGCCTGCGGTACCTGGCCCGTTCCCGGGCCTGGCGGGCCGGGAGAGTTCTAAACCTCTCCCGGTCCCGCTCCGCCGTCTCCTTCGCGAGCATAACTTGCTCGCAGAAGGAGGCGGCAGAGTTCCACGCACTCTCGCTCCGCACGATAGCCGCAATCAGGCTATCGAGCGAGAGAACTCCCACTCCGATGGCCGCCACGAGGTATCGCCTCTGCTCAACCCACGCCGGTCACTCTGCCAGCGGGTGGAGAGCCGGTCTGGCCATCGCAGTGGTGGCACTCAGGCGTTGGCTCCTTGCGGATCCGATACAGGTGATCCCCGAAACATCCTTTCCCAGTGATCACCTGCGTCAGTCGGTATGAGAGGGTCCCGTGACGCCTCTCCTCCATAACGGGTCTTACCGCCGCGATGAGGGCGTGCCCGGCGCTCGGTTGCCCGAGTCGTTCCCTCCACTCCCCTATGATGACCTGGCGGAGTTGGGATTTCCGGTCATCGATTTCTCGAATCTCGGGACACCGACCCAACTCCCGCGCCTCCTTGCACCACTGATACAGAGCCGCAAGGGCTCTCACCTCCAGGTTCCACGGTGGAGTTCCGGCCACGAGACTCGCCGCCTCAAAGGAGATCGTGCGGTACCTCCTTATGATCCTGATGGCCAGCATTCGCTGCGGTCGTCGCAGTATCGCGACGTTGCTGGCCTTCAGGGCCCCCGCCCATACTGGGCACCCGTAAAGGGCCATGGACCGCATAACCCCCGAGTAGAGTCTCCTGCAGGAGTCATCGGGTCCCTTCATGTTGGGCAGCAGCCGCGCCAAAGCACGCGCTGCCCCAACCAACTTGGGGACCAGACCTCGGAAATGATATCCGAAGTCCCATCGGCCATCGAGTACGAGCCCCAGATACCTGATCGAGGGCTCGATGCCGATGCGAGTGCCTCCTACCGTGAGGCTAGATCCCTCAGGTGGCTTCCTCTAAAGCCCGTGGAAGAACAGGGCCCGGACTTGTGCAGAGCCACCTCTAGACCCAGCCGCCGGATTCGCTCAATGACTTGGGCAACCCCGACCGTGGCCCTCAGGGTTGCCTCGTGGTGCGTCTTGCCGTGCGCCGTCACGAGCGTGTCGTCCGCGTAGCACACGACGGCGACACCATTCAAGAAGGCACCACGAAGCACCCAGTCGTAGCCGATGTTCCACAAGAGTGGCCCTAACACCGACCCCTGCGGAACACCGCACGACATTTCACGCCTACCGAGACCGTTCCTAATGGGGTAGACGACGGCTCTCTCCGACAAATATGCCCCGAATATTCGGCGGAGGTAGAGAGGCACTTCGAGATACACGAGCGCCTCCCTGATGCAGCTCCAGGGCAGTGTGTTGAACGTGTTGGCGATGTCCAAGGACTTCCTCCGCCAAAGCCTTCACGCACATGATCGCATCCACGGTGGAGCGCCCCTGACGGAAACCGTACTGGTTGTCCGCCAGATCCGGCCCCACCATCACGAGATGCTTGACGAGGCGCCTTGCAATCAGTCTCAAGGGAACTTAATCACCCACGGGTTCCTTTTAAGGAACGCATAGCGTTGGCAATCTTATAAGTATTGCAATACTTTGAATTTAATTTGGAGATCGTATTTGTTTAGGCTCACGGGGTGTCCTCTATGTCTAACACAGAGGACACCCCGTATTGGTATTGGTATTGGTTGTGGGCTTCGGTTTCCGCATTTAGACTCAGAGTGGTCCTTTATGCGTCGGGGATTGGTTGACTAGGTGAGCCAGCCAAGCTCCTTCCAGAAGCGCAGAAGCCTCCT